GAGAAATTAATATTGGGTGAAAAATCCCAACCCCACCCATACCAAGCACTGACTTGAGTAAAGAGCATGTTGTGAAGAAAAAGTTGGGAGTGAAGAAATCAAGAACTTGCTGAAGACAGATCAAATGAGTTCATATCTGTATTTGGTAAATACAAAATGATATGCCACAAAATAGAAATAAATAATTTGTTTGTGAAGCACACTAAAAATAGGCTTATGCAGAAGAAGTTAGGTTTAATGAATGCGGGAGTAAAGGACATTCCAATAATAAAGCATTACCAGAAATCCTTGCTGATCAGGGAATGCAGCAAGGCACCGTGTCTGGTATTTTAGTGGTGATTGGATTCGCTTGAACTCCGTCTAACAATCCAAACAGAAGCCATGAAATAAGCCATTTGAATAACAGAAGTCATCAATGTCCAACTCAAAATGAATCAACACATGCAAAGCCCAGTTTAACAACACAATCACCTGAGGATTCTGCAAATTGAAGACAACAAGATGACGATCAGCAGTTCCCACAATCATAAGGGGATAATTCACAGTAAGAGCATAGCAACGCTCAGGAAGTTGCTGGATATGCACAGGATTTGCTTGTCTTGTATCCCAATACCTATAAAGAGCATAGCAATTTGCATTAAAGGTATATGAGAATTAATGGGATGACAACAAAGCATAACAGAACTATACCAGGTCCAAAAGGGCACAGGCACAGATAAAGTAAAATTAACACACAGTCAGAGAGCATAAATGCACGATGTATGCATGATAATCAAATACACATTTAGAACTGCAATACGCCATAGTGTTCCCTAAATCAATCTGAAATGCATGACGACAAGAGTATCTATTAATCTATTAAGTAATCAAATTATGTAGACTTCGTATTAAAACTAGCTACTGACTTAATGATTACTTGTAAATATAGCAACACTAACATGGAGCATAATCCATTTCTTTCTCAAATGGGCAAGGAGCATAATCCATTGCAGCTGTAACAGAACTGTCAGAACATGCGATAGGGTCATAGGAAAATCTGGAGGTTTATAGCACACAAAGACTAGAATGGAAAGAAAAACAGTATATGGTGAACGGATCTTTAGTGGTACTTGGCTTAGGCAATATTGATACTATCATCTCAACTGTCCAAGACGTTCACTAACTTAGGGAATATACTATTCCTTTTAGATAACATGATATAGTAATAACCAGCCATTGGTAACAGCATAAGAGATTATGGGAGATATGTATTCAACTTCCAAGTGAAAAAGTTCAAGTTAGAGAGCAGCAGACTGGACTTGCACACCTTAAAGTCTTATCCCAGCTTCCAGAGACAAGAAGATTCATCTGAGGAATCCAGGCGACCTCCTTGACAGGCGCATCATGCATCGCAACCGTCTGAGGCTGCCCGCCTGACAGCAGAGGCCACATTTTGACCTGCTTGTCACAGCCTCCAGAGAAGACAGTAGTTCCATCATCCTTCCAAGCCGAGCAGAGGACCTAAAAGAAGAAACAAATCAATCAGGACACCAGATACTTACTACATGGCAGTCAATCTACCACCCAATCAAATATATTAACAGATCCAAGAAAATACTGAGACCATACCGGCTGATCATGTGATATGGATGCCTTTGGCTGACTATTGCCACCAACAATCTCCCAACACCTCACCTGAACAAAACACAAAACCAAACCCAAGTTCCATACATCAAACATTCAACACATCACAGTAACATGCTAACTGCAAATTACACAGCATAAGGAAAGCTACCTGGTTATCCCAGGAGGTTGCCACAAGCAGATTATTCTTGGGACTAAAGCTGAGGCTGGAGACGGAGTCACCCGGGTTCGGCAGTATCTGCATTTTTTCAAGAAAACATAGATGATTCGAGATGCTACAGTAGAGGCATACTCTTCACAATACTGCATCAAATTCACACAGCAGAGCACCTCGAATGACTTGTTCGGATTAGGGTTCGCGTTGAGGCCGGTTAGACTCGCCATCTCTCTCTACGCCTGGAGCAGATCCAGCGAACAAAAAATCAAAATTAGTGGGGAGTGTAATACATATCATGCAGAGGCGGACTCAGTAAAGGACATGGGCAGGGGCGGATCCAGTAAAGGGACATGGGTGTACACATGTATACACCCAATAATTTTTGCACAAACGTCGAAGTTTGGGAGCTTGTAAAATAGCTAATAGCTTTAGGTTAGGGTTTCGGTGCTCAGCTTGAAGGGAAGGGAAGAGAAGGGGTGGACGTACCTGGTGGGTGCTCCTCGCCGGCGAAGATACCAACTAAAGCCTCAGCACCTGACTTAGGGCGGCGGCGGCGGCGCGGCGCACCAGTCGTCGGAGAGCGAGAGGGGGCGAGAGAGGCAGTGCAGCGGACGGAAGGGGAATGAATGCACGTTTTTTTTTTCTTTTATCATGAATGAATGCAGGCTATGCTTATGCAGCGACGGCGGAAAAAAAAAACAAAAAAACGCACCCTCATGGGCCTTCCTGTGGGCCGTTTTTATTTATTATCCTTACATTTTTTTTAATGTCTAAAAAAATTGAATGTCTTAAAAAAATTTGAATGTCTAAATTCTTAGATGAAAGGTAATTCCATATGATAATTATTGGCGAGATATACAGAGAACTGTAAAAATTATTACCACTGACTAATGACTCTCCTTATATTTGTTTTCTTTCTAATATGTAATTCTCTCTATTATTCTTGTTGAGTATGTGTAAACTAATCTAGCTCTTCCAATCGACACGCGCAAAAATGAAGGGTGAGTAGTGCTTGACCCTCTTGGGCGGACTAACAAGGATATGCATGCATAGGGTGGGTATAGTTGTGACCTCTACGCAAGTGAACAAGGGGAGTAGATTTGCTGCGCAAAATAAAAAGGGTGAGGGTAGCTGCCGTGTGAGTATGTAGATTTCTTTTTTTTTTTTACGCTTCTTAACTGGATACAGCTGTAGTATCTAAACATGTGCGAACACAGCAAACCCACACACACACGCACACAATCACATCCCTACGCACATATTAAGACCTACAATTACACGAAGCTTGAAGATCGTGTCCTTAGTGAGGGCTCTGTAGACAAGTGGCACGTCGTTCTAACCCACGTGAGAAGGCAACAAAAAAATTTTTGGGGGCATGCTTCAGTGAGACACCCGAATTACGGTCCCAGGGATCGAATTGGGCGGGCAGCGCTCACACCGAAGTCGCTTGCCACTGAGCTACGCACTCGTTCTCAATATAGATTTCACCAAGTTGTAACCGTGACCCCAAAAAAATAATAAAGTGTGCTTGTTGTGTGGATCTTGATGCCTTCTTTTATCTTGTGTGTATATGAGGATTTTAAATGTTCATACAAATACGACATTGTCACTCACAAAGTTTGGTCGTTTAGGGTGTGACACTTAGTGGTATCGGAGCCGGTTTGCACAAAACAAACATTCTAATTGTAGCACACTGACACCTGATGATATTAACAAGACTAGAATAGCCGGGACATTAAGGTTGGGTGTTGGTGCATTCACACAATAGCTACACTGCACCGCCCGGTGCACTAGGATGCATGTGACTTAGATGTGATGGTATATTGATTGACATATTTCTATGATAAATTATTATGAATATTTGTGTGTTTCATTCGAGAGATGGCTGTTGACTACATTGAGGTCTAGCTAAGCTTTTTCTCGAAGAGTTCGTGCAAATGTTGTGACTCGATCAGCCAACCAAGCTTCACTGGTCGTGCTGGTCATGACGTCCATTGTTGATGTTAAAGTTGCTCTTGGACTAACGGATGAGGCTCGCTTCTTGTCATGAAGCAACTGGGGTTACTGCTGCTGAGGCTAAGCAAGCTGCATCACTGACGGCTATCAATGCCTTAGCTACTGTGCGTCAGGTGGAGATTAGAGATGTTAATTTTCCACAAGTGCAGATCTTATGCCATCAGCTTGTGAACCTGCGCGGTAGGGTGGCAGAAATAGAGAAGCTTTGTGCCGAATTGATAAATGACATTTATAACGGTGAGAATAAAGTGATGTCCTGAAACGCCTCGCTAAGCATCCGCAGTGGGAGGGTCGAAGCCGGTGTGATACAATAAATGCTAGGATGGAACCCGGTCCTATACACTGCAACCATGGTTCGATGAAGGACCGGCTCCTTCGCATGGAACCTGGGTCAAAGAAATAAAGAACTCTTTCCTGGCATTGCTACTCGCGCAAAGGAGAGGAGGGTGCAGTTGATTTTGGGCCCACGTATGGACTCATGTTGGGTTCGATACATTGCTGATAGAAGAACATGAGACGTCTAATTAGCTGTGGGCTCCAGTTAAGACCCAAGGACGGGTTGACACACTGTGGACGCTCAAGAGGTTCTACCATCGCATCTGCTGCCTCAATGAGACATTGCACGTGGAAGTTGATGAAAGCCCCGATGTATTGTAGCCCATTTTCAATATTAGTAACTAGTCTGATTTGATATTCGTGCCTATTTTAGTATCAGTCGTCTAATATCTGCATGTAAACGGACCTTAGGACAGTTGCCATACAAACCTGTGTAACTCTAGCATTCCATAGACTGTTCATTGTACATCTTTCACATGATCTGTTTACAGGTTGACCGAGACAAACAACAACTGAACAATACAAGCATGTCCTACTCCTACCCAAACAACTTTATATACTGTATTTACACCTGTAATTTCTTTGATCTGTCAATCAAATCCAAAGCCTAATTCATTGCTGTAACTGTAACCATTAGAAGATTCAGGTTTCATTCTGAGAGCCAACAGAACACGCCGGTTGCCCGTACCAGAATACCAGATGCGCAGAGCTGGAAGGAAAACCGAGGCACTGACCGCAGGCGCAGCAGCCTTGCTCCGCCGGCCGCTCCGGGCGGCAGCCAAAGCCAACCACGCGCGCACGTGCCTGCAATGCCGCTTCCTCTCCGCGTTCGCCGTCGCCGAAGCCGTCGCGGGGTGTTTCGTTACGCTTACGCCGGCTCCCGCCGGCGCGCCGCCCAGAGCGAGCTGAGCGCGCGCAGCCGCTGGCCGTAGTCCGCGAGCGCGAGCAGCCCCCGCGCCGCCTGCCGCGGCGTCAGGATCTTGTGCATGTTTCTCAGCGTCTGCTGCCGGAGATGGTCCGCCTGTGCCAACAACGTCGAGGTCGGTCGGTCAGAAACAAGAGGCCGTACACCGATCGAGCGTGCCAATGCCAAAGATTTTGGTTTCGCCTGCTGCTCAGTGGCAACTGGCTAGTCAGTCACCTTGTCCACGAAGTCGACGAGGTCGGCGAGCTTGCCCACGGCGCTGGCCATCTGCTGCGCCGCGTACCCGCCCCCGCCGGCAGCGCCGTCCGGCGAGACGTCGACGGTCATGAGGGTCTCGACGAGCGTCTGCTGCAGCTTGTTCATGCCCTGCGTCAGCGCGTCCTCCAGCTGCCGCGCCGTGTTCTGCAGCTTGCGCACCTCGGCGGCCTGGAGCTCCAAGAGCGGGTCCAGCTGCGGCGCCAGCACCTTGAGCAGCTCGGAGGGGCGGAACCCGCCGATCCAGAGGAAGAAGAGCTCCGCGGGGGCCCGCCACACGCCGGACAGCACGAAGAAGGCGTCGGACCGCGCCGCGCGCGCCTTGGCCTGGAACAGCGCGCCGTAGTGCTCCAGCCCCGCGTCGACGAGCACGCGCAGCTGCACGTCCGGCGCGTGCGACTGCAGCGCCGCACGCAGCTCCGTCGCCTGCCTGCTCTGCTCCTCCACCCAGTGCGCGTACTCCAGCTCGAACGCGGCCACGCGCGGGTCCACGGGCGCCGCCGCCGGCGGCGGCGGTGTGACTCCTCCTCCTCCCACGCCGTACGCGCCGTGCTGCTGGCGCCTGGCCATGGTGAGCTCCTGCTCCAGCTGCGCTAGCTTCATGCGGCTCGTCTCGAGATTCTGGATGTACGCCTGTGTCGTATCAATGGATGGAACAAAAGCATCAATCATGAGCGATGAGCTGATTCGACTGATGATTCGACGGAGAGAATAACGTAACAATTCGAAGGAACAAAAGCAAGAAGATTTGCTTGGCACGCGATGAGTGTTCGCTCTTCGCTGAGACGCTGCTGACCTTCTTCCGTAGCCGGCTCTTCCGGGCTGCCTCTCTGTTCTGCGCGAGCCGTCTCTGAGTCTAGGCAAAGCAGAGCGAGGGCGAAGATCAGCGATCGAGGAATTCTCGTCCTGCGGATAATTCATCCGAGTCATCACTCATCGGTCGGGTCCGTCTCACCTTGTCTCTTGGCCTGGCGTCGTCGTCGTGGCCGAAGCTATCCGACGACGGCGGCGCCGCTTCTTCTTCCACAGGCGGCGCGACGTCGTCCTGCTGTGCCTGCAACTGCAACAAACCACGGCCCACCAGTGATGATTATCTGAATCCATGAGGAGACGGAGAATCGCATCGAGCTGCGATGCAGCACACAGGGGTCAGGGGAGGGCGCTTGAATAATTATTACCAGGCGTTTGCCGAACTTGACCTCCTCTGCTTCGACGACGTCGAGCGGCGCCGGCGTCGTCGCCACGGTGACCGTCGGGACGACCGCGGCCAGGGGCAGGGGCAGGGGCAGGGCCACGGCGTCGGCGTCGGCGTCGGGCCGGAATGGCTCCCCCCACACGCCGGCCGCCACCAGGTGGCGCTGCCGCTCGTAGATCCCCATGGCCCCGCCGCCGACGGGGCCCGAGGTCACGTAGCGGCCGGGCGCGGCGCCGCTCGTCGCCAGCGGCTGCAAGCGACTGCAGGAACAACAAGCAAGAGCATGTCAGCGCGCCCGCAGCGTCTGTCTCCACCAGAAATCAAGCCTGAGCGAGGCCGTGGGGATGGTTATTACGCGCGCCGATGAGACGGGTAGAAGAGGCTAGTGGTCAGTGGTCACTTACTCACTGGCTAGTGGTCAGTGGTCACTTACTCACTGGCTACGAGAGCCATGGCGTCGGCGGTGAGCTCGCCTCGGCTGGCAGGGACTCGGTGGGGGCTATGGCTGCGCTGGCGTTCAGTGGCATGTAGGAGGACGACGACGACGCCGAGTTGAAGAGCTGGGGCTGGGTGTACCGTGTATGCCTGTCAGCTTCTCCCTCCCCCCTCTGTCGTCTCGTGTGTCCGTGGCTGACGATGACTGATTGATGAAGCAAGCAGTGCGCGCAGTGAGCCGATCGGACGACGTGGGTGTGGTTGGTCGTTGCGTACGTGCTGGGTCTGGCCGTCTGGGTGGCGCTACGTCCGTCCGGCGGGCCTCCCCTTCCTGGTCCGGCGCTCCGGCACACGACAAGAAGCCAACCTCGGCGCGGGCCAGAAACAAAAAGGTGTCGCCTTGTCGCTACGTACTCGGAGGGACGGCCGGACGGGGATCCCGCCGGCGGGCACCGTCTGTTGCTAGGCAAGGTAACCCATCCTCGCCGGAGGCTCCTCTCACTGTGCCATTGCCCGATTCGCTGAAAATTACTGTTCACTGATTTGTGGTGAGAGAAAAACACTACACTATTCCTGATAAGTTGAAGCGAACAACATAGTACAACGTTGCACATGTGCTCGAGATTGATTATTTTTGTAATCCGATTCTGGGTATAACCTGTTCCTAGGGCACGGTTCAACCACGACCGTATTGCGTGCGCTTGCACCTCGAGATTGATTACTTAACCAAGTAAAAAATATTTGCAAGGTTATGTATTATGCTTGTGCACAACACAATAAAATATACGTACTAGATAGCATGAACCTTAGCCAATAATGCAAGGCAGCGTGCGCTGAGTACGCAAGTTCATGAATTATCCCTTGTCCCTTGTTTCATTTTGCAACGACACCCTGAAGTGGACAGCCACTGTGGTGTGGACGACACTACAATTCCATAATCCCCAGCAACGACAACAACAGCTCACGAGTCATCATGCATACGCATAGAATGCCTTATCTTATCTCGAGTAGACTTTTAGCGATCGAGGAGGGTGACAGCGACGCCCGCCAAGCGGCCAAGGCCAATGCATGCAGGTAGCAGTAGCACGCAGCTGGTGTCACCACTGGCTCGGTCTCGGTGCCAGCCAAGCATGCATGGACGGACGACCTGCCTTCCACTCAGCGGCTGTGGTACTCTAGTAGTGCATGAGCACTTGTTTACGCCTTTTTATCTCTCCTTTGCGTAGTTGCATCGCATTGGAGAGGAATCAGCAGCAGCAGGCCAGCAGCACTTGACTTGAGCGAGCGGCCACCAGGGAGCCCCTGGGAATCTCACTAGCTAGCTGGGGCGGGCCCACGCGTTGAATGCGAGAATCAGGAATCAGGATTCCATTTTGCAACCAATAGTCTAGCGGTTCTACATGCTCCACTGTTATGCTGTGGGTGCATGCATGCATGGCCAAAGAAGGTTTGGGTCCAGTTACTGCACTGGGGGAAACTGTGTGGCGATCTTGGTATTACCATATGGGATTCTATGTGTCCATGATTTTTTCTATGCTGTAGGAGTCTATAGGTGTTCTATTCATTCGGCGTCCGGCATCTTGTTCGTTTGCCCAGAGTTACTGATTCACGACAGTGACATTGTGCACCCCGTTCACTGCTCTTATTTTTCACATTCTAACCCAATTGGTGGAGACGAATAAAAAACGGTTGGACACGGATGTATACCTATAATAAGTGGCGGAGCCACCACCCCGACACCCCGAGCAGTCGGTCCGGCTCGCCGCCGGTGAGATTTGAATGAAAATTTTGTTTATATTAAAGAAGAATAGGATAATTTGCTAGATAAATATTTTTGCACAACAAATCTTATGGCTCAGTCACTATCAATATACGATATTTCTCGGGTTCAAATTCAGACATGGATAGTACCAGCTATGGCGGCTAATATATGAATGGACATCGACATCATATATGTCTGATTTAAATATTTTAAATATGGATAATGTGTCGGATGCTGAATATCTGGAGTTGAACACGGACGGACCTGAACTTCTCTAAAATGATTCGATCTCAAATAAGAAAGTGTTCATACCGTTTGCACCCTAGAGATTTTGTTTGGAAACAGGTCTCCCACACAATTACGTCACTACCAACAGACCCCACCCCCCACCCTCCTTTCATAATTGCACAGTTCCACACCCTCTCCCATGTTGGATTGTAGGGCGTGGGAGAGATTTGTTTCACCCAAAATTCAGTTTTATTTATTTCCATGCATCCTATTTAGGAGGGAAAAAGGAAAGCACACCATTCTAAAAAATACCATTCAAAAAAAGGAAAACACAAAATCTAGGTGTAGGAAAGAAGATTTTCAATCTGACGCAATATATAGCTAAATAGAAATTAAAACTGAAAACAGAACGGCATGACACCCCAGCTGCTACAAAAGGCGGTCATGTACCCTGGCCATAAATAATTCTCATTGATTTAATTATTTAGTGATATACATACATGACGCTATGTCGGTCGAACTTGAAACAAGTACCATATGAAAGAATCCGCTGCATATAAAACCCAGAAAACAGTTTTCCATGTAACTGGAAACTTTCCCTCGGTGGGGACAAATCAGGTGGTGTGTGTACCTGTCTTTTCATCCAAAAAAGATGGCGAACCTAATACTCATGGTGGAGAGAATGAAAAGAAGAAAGACCCCATTGGTCATTTGGGGTTTTAGTTGGGGATGATGCATCGCTCACAACTTTGCAGTGCACCAAAGCATATCACCTTTTATTCTAGGGATTCCTCCCTCGCTTGCATTGCATTGAGAATTCGAGAGGCCAACAGGAAATGAAATGAAGCCCCCCTTTGGAATGGAACTTGGAACCTCACTAGTTGGGTGGAGCCCACACAACAAATGCAGAAATCAGGATCCCCTTTGGTGACCAACATCTACCACTATTTAAGAGCAAGCATAATGAAATTTTTTAGATGAGCTTATTTTTACTAAAATGGAGGAGAGAGGAGAAAAGAGAGAAGAAAAACTGATTGCAAGCTTACGACTAGCTTACGTACAAGAGGTAAGAAACTTTGTAAAAGACAAAAAATGAGCCATATGTGAGCTAACTACTGTATGAGCGTGTTATTAATAAGTGGGTTGTAAATATCTATACAACTAACAGCAAATTGTATTATAAATATTGCTCTTATTGTGGTCAAATACGACTCCAGTCTAGTTTAGGAGAATCATTCTATAATCCCAGTGTCTCGTTTGTCGGATCACACATCTCCATGGATTTTAAGCTGGAGATGCCATTTACGATTTGGGGGCATCTTGTTCATTTACCAAAGATCCATATTCATGACATGGACATTCGCCAGATCTTTTATTTTCTTTAATAAAGAACAAAAAAACCATATTACTACTCGGCTCTGGCCTGATTCTGAATAACCCTGAACGGAGTTTTGTGTTGATTTAATTCACTAACAATTTCAATTGGCCCATTCTACCCCTTCATAATATTACCTACGAATTGAACTCTAAGTTACAATTTTATGAGGGTGATGATAGGAGAAATCACAAATTTTGTTTAAAATACGTTATGAATATATTTTCACCATTATGCTGATAGGTTAGACATCTAATGCTAAATTAACTCTAGAGAGAAAAGGTGTACGGACAATAATGAAATGGTTGTTTCATTTCTTTCTTGTTGTTTGCATTTTTAAAGGAAGCCCCACTGTACAAAAAAAGTGTAGTCAACATTTCTCTTGAATCAAGCTTGCCACACAATCGTGTGGCTTTTGACTCTCAGTGCAATTTGTATCTACTATGAGGGAAACCTCATTTGCCGAAACAAAATGTCTGGCCATGTAAGGTGAATCTACATGAGCACACCTGAATAATAAGAAAAAAATATGTCTAATTTACGCAACGCTCACGCTGCACCACAAGATGGGGATTCCAAAGGCAGAGCATAGCCCCAGCCTTTTGGAGTGGTGCACTAGTCCACTTGTCTTCTAAAGAACTACTAGTGACACCAGCTTTAATTCCGCAATTTATAGTGAATTATACCTTGCATTGCATGCTTAAGGTTCCACTTTGTTTGCAATCTCTCTTAATTAAGTCGCATATATAGGATTATCTCTGTTTTTTTTCCTCCAGTTTGTGTAACAGATGTCATAGTTAGTTCACTAGACCAGGGGTGATTTAGGAAATAGGAAATGGTCACCTGAGTTTGTGGATGTTGAAACGGTCTTGGAGATATCCAGGGTAAAGCTCCATCTCATGCTTCACCTGATCAACCTAATCAAGGAATTTTTAATAATAGAGACAAAAGTTATGATAAGAAACTGGAAACTGTTGACATAAAGGTAACTTATGAGAAGATGAAGCTCAACCCAAAGAAAACTTAGTGAACCTATAGCTAGCATAGTAGTATATGTTTACCTATTGTTCAGGGCAGATTATCTACTTTAATCCTACTCTAGCTCATAATATTTGTAGTAATAGTTTATATAATATAGAAGGTTATACAATTTTATATTAGAGGTGGGACTAGATATATGAGGAAAGAAGTGTAGAATAAATAAAATCCTCTTATTTATGTATATGACATAAAGAGGAAATTGTTGTGCTTACGTCTGTCATGACCAATCAACAAAGGATTTGTGGAAGTGTGATGACCAATCAACTAAGGAGATATGCTCTATGGTATTTTCTTGAGGAAACAATATGTTCTTATAACAATATACCCTAAAAGCAAGATATGCTCCTGAAAAAAAGGATGAGCGTCTGATCATTCACCATGAACACTCCACTCTTTCCTTCATGAATAAAATCATTTTAACAAGTAACAATACATATCTTGTTAGTAACATGTAACACTGATTGTAGACAGTAGGCACAGAATTTAGTTTGATGGTGGCTAATCTCAAATCAAAGCAATTTTTCAAGGGCAGTCCCGACCTTGAGCGGTGACCTTAGCTTGTGGACAGATCAAAACTCATTTGCTTTATGTAAAAAAACTAAACTGACGAATTCTGTAGTTCTCTGAATAAATCCTCTGCAAAACCCACCTATATATTTATTTAGTCAGTTTCCAGTGGTGTATGAGAATTTTCTACAACCCAGTGTATGCCATGAAAATGTGTGCTTTCACATCTCACAACAAGCAAAAGCATCCCAGTCCCATTCACTCTTGTAACTACCAAATGTGTAAACTGAATAGATCGAACAAGCTGAGAACTAACTAAGAAGTAGTGATCAGTAGTACCTTCTTATAAGGATGAGCAGGTAAGGTCACCAATCAAGCAAGAAGCTCAAGGCAGCTCCCCATATATGTATGTGTGCCCTAGAATTCGTCTCCAAAGAGCACACCACTTGCCCACGCATGAGGCCATCCATGTACAAGTTGTTTATATGGAGCGACCCCATTTCCCTTAAAAAGAAGCAGCCAACTTCCATGGCTGCTTTCAATGGCAAATGTTATCACTGGGCCCTATAGTTAGCTTAGGATGCACTAATCACACTTTCTAGTAAACTAATCAGGTGCATATATGCTGACATGCACACATGATTGCATCTAATTATCTAGCTAGTGAGAGGTAGAAAAGAAGATCCGGGGCTCATGCTTACCAGAAAGACAGTAACTTTGAGCTGTAAAAGTTTAATAGAGGGGCATATGCTTTCAAGTGCCTGCAAGTAAAGGAACTTTGATTTTAGAGTAAAATGCACCGGATGTCTATTAACTTTCGTAGGAGTGTCATTTAGGTCCATCAATTTTAAAACTGTATTTTTTGGTCCATGAACTTTTAAAATGGTTCACTGCAGGTCCATACCCATTTATTTAACCTTAAATCCAAAGTACATTTGCAAAAAAAACCCTACCACACGCCTCACAGCTAGCCAGCCAGCCTCCTCAGTCCTCACGCTCTGAGAGAGGGAGCTCGACCGGTTGGGCTGATCCACGGCGGCACACGAAGGCACCAACTGCGTGGCGCCGATGGAGGTCACCGTGGAGGCCGGGAACGCCGGGGAGGCCGCGTGGCTGGACGACGACGGCCGGCCCCAGCGCGCCGGCACGTTCTGGACGGCCAGCGCGCACATCATCACCACCGTCATCGGCTCCGGGGTGCTCTCCCTGGCCTGGGCCATCGCGCAGCTCGGCTGGGTGGCCGGCCCGGTCGCCATGCTGCTCTTCGCCTTCGTTACCTACTACACGGCCACGCTGCTCGCCGAGTGCTACCGCACGGGCGACCCGGAGACGGGGAAGCGCAACTACACCTACATGGACGCCGTGCGCTCCAACCTCGGCGGCGCGAAAGTCGCATTCTGCGGAGTGATCCAGTACGCCAACCTCGTCGGCGTCGCCATCGGGTACACCATCGCGTCGTCCATCAGCATGAAGGCCATCAGGAGGGCTGGATGCTTCCACACCCACGAGCATGCTGAACCGTGTAGCAGCTCCAGCATCCCGTACATGATCGTCTTTGGCGCCGTGCAGATCGTCTTCTCGCAGATACCGGACTTCGATCAGATTTCGTGGCTCTCCATCGTCGCTGCCGTCATGTCCTTCACCTATTCTTCCGTCGGACTCTCCCTCGGCATCGCACAGACCATCTGTAAGTCCTTCATTCCTTCAATCCGGCTTGTCAAGAAATATTAATTCATGGTGTCATTTCGTTGCTCAGTTCAGTTACTAAACGGTTGTTTCAACTGTTGCAGCTAATGGTGGGTTCAAGGGAAGCCTGACCGGCATCAGCATCGGTGCCGGCGTCACCTCCACACAGAAGGTCTAGCACAGCCTGCAGGCCTTCGGCGATATCGCCTTCGCCTACTCCTTCTCCAACATCCTAATCGAAATCCAAGTAAGCATCAAGACCTCTATAGAGCTCTCGTCTGTTTCCATCACCCAGAGATTGCTCTGTTCCTAATCAACGTTGCTCTGTTTCTCCAGGACACGATCAAGGCCCCGCCACCGTCGGAGTCGAAGGTGATGCAGAAGGCGACGCGTCTCAGCGTGGCGACCACGACCATCTTCTACATGCTGTGCGGGTGCATGGGGTACGCAGCGTTCGGCGACGCCGCGCCAGACAACCTCCTCACGGGATTCGGCTTCTACGAGCCCTTCTGGCTGCTCGACGTCGCCAACGTCGCCATCGTCGTGCACCTTGTCGGCGCGTACCAGGTGTTCTGCCAGCCCATCTTCGCCTTCGTCGAGCGCCGCGCCGCTGCGGCCTGGCCGCACAGCGCCTTCATCTCACCGTAGTTCACCCACACCGGCCACCGTATCTTTGGAGGGGATAACGGGACGCGCAGGTAGCAGGAGTAGCCGACGACCATCACCACGTCGCCGTGGACCAACGACAGCTGCCTCCCTTCCTTCAGCGCTGGAACCACTTGCGCCGACTCGTTCAGGCACCGGGAGCACTCCGCCGCGGTGCGGTTGGCCACGCACGTCCCCAGCGCCGCGGTCAGCGTGTCGTCGCTGTCGTCGTCGTAGAACCAGCCGTGCCACGCGTCCTCGCGGGCCGTGGACGCGTTGGTGTCCGCGTACTACAGGAAGCAGCCGGCGCGCCAGACCGCCCCCGCGGCGTCCGGGCATCCGTCGGCGACGTCCTGGGCGGCAGCGGCAAGGCATTTCAAGCTGTCGCTGGTGAGGACCCGCGACGCTCGCCGAAGCAGAACGCGCCGCGAAAAGGCGCGGTCGTCGCCGACGGCTCGGCCGGACTGAGCGGCGTTGACCGTTGAGCAGGAAGGGTGAGCGCGTAGAAGATAAAAAATGTAGGGGTTTTCTGCAAATGTACGTTGGATTTAAGATTAAATAAATGGGTATGGACCTGCAATGAACTATTTTAAAATTCATGATCCAAAATACAGTTTTGAAGTTGATGGGCCTGCAGATGACACCCAACGAAAATTAATGGACTTCCGGTGCATTTTACTCTTGATTGTGATTGCCACTTGATATATGTATACACATGATGAGCATTTAAGTACTTGCCTACTTGGGTTAGGTCAGTGTACGAGAGAAGCTTGATAGGCTATGGATCGGAGATGTATCGATCTGCACACAAGTGCTGATTATGCAGAAAAGACTTGCATGCAAGATTTAGAAAACATAGTACACTTGCAATGAACACACACATTTTTAGCAAAGGTTTTAAAGTGCAAATTAAAGTAAAGCAGCTTGCTCCTCTATGAAAATCCTAAAGGGGATTGCTTAAAGCTAAGAAATCCTGCAAACACAGCTTGCAGTCACTAATCCTAGGATTATGATTTTGCGATCAGCTATGGTATATGGTAGAATTTGAGCTGTAAAGAGTCATGCTGCTATGGAGGCAGACTGTCTCCATACAAGTCCAAAGCTCTGACAAAAGACTCAAACTTGAACAGAGTTCTGTCAATTATTTGTACCAACAAGGCAACAACTAATTCACACTTTAACTTATTACATGCCTCTCAGTTTATATATGCTTGTTCTCGATCGATCAAATACCTCGGTTTCGTGCTAGAATGCCATGATTTAAAGTTCATGAAGCAAGTTTGCACAAGATTGAGCAGGAAGGAGATTCCCAGCATGATGAAATCAAATTAATAATCATGGAGAGAGTAACTAAATTCATTCACAACCCTTTTCTGGACTGTCCCCCAAGAGCCCAAAAGAGGCATCCTTACACGTTTGCACACACTTTTTCCCAGCCTATCAACCATACAATGATGTTGCTTGTCTTCTTCATCCATGCTTCCTTTTTTGGTGGCACTGCATGTTATCGTTACTCATTAGCAGTGTGGATAGTATTGATATTAATTTTCTTAATTACTACTATACGAGATTACTCATATTCTCTTGCACCACCAAGAGAGATGGTTAAACTTGATAAAACTCTGCCATCCTCCTACAAAAGAAGGCGACAAACATTGCATCTAAAGCATGGTACATGTCTATGAACACAAATCAACTGGTAGTACATGACCAATAAACACAAATGATAACCGATGCAATTGACCAGACGGTCGACATTCTCTTAAGAAATAGTTGAGATTCTTCTTTCCACATAAGCCTATACAAAATTTGAGCATCGCTTCTCCTCTTAAAACATATAAGCAACAACCTACAATTGAACATCAGGATGAAGCATGGGATGGAACAATGCCTCCAAGGAGAGACAACAAATTGGCACCGCTGTCACCTGTCTGGATCGGAGTAGATAAGATTTTTCACCTGCAAGATCTTAGAACACGAGGGTGAGGCCTTGTCGGAGATACGGAACCAGGGTACCTCACCGCCTATATATCGACTCAATATATCAGTCAAGTGGGCCGAATACGATATTGGATGAGGCCCACCAGAACTACAGTATATCGACCAACATGATCAACAAGAAACCCGCAAGGAAGATACGGGTGTCAAGTCTTATGGAGATATGGCAGGTAGTTTCTTATACTTTCCATCATGTAATCAAACTAGGAAATATATCTGTAAATTGGTCGGATCTTGTAATCCTAACCCCCAGACTATATAAGAAGAGGTAGGGACCCCCAAACCGGATCATTGCAAGCTACATCAGCACCCCTGTAAACTTGAGCATAAGAGATCCACATCAAACTAGACGTAGGATACCCCGTACCTGAACCAGTATAAACCCTTATGTCATTGTGTGCCACTCTTCTGATTCTCTGTGCACGGTACGCTGATCCATATTGCTGGAGCTAATAATTCCTACAGGCTTATCGACTGATACCTCCAAGACAAAAAAAACAATGCTTGTGGGCGTCATCATCGTCAGCCTGTTGAGCATGTTGCACTAGGGCACACACAACTCCCATCCTCGAGATGTAGCCACCCTTGAACTAGATCAATATATGCTTCTGGCCACCTACACGTGTTGACTATGCCACATGTGGCCACCACGACTTGACGTGCACAGATCCGACAACCCCCGTGCTAGGGCAAGTCGTTCCGCCTAGATTTGAGACATGTCAAGCCTGTTTGGTTCTCATGGGTGGAGCTACCTGGCCCAGACAGAGCTCACAGGCGCCCGATTTTAGTTGCCTAGGACTAGGATCGCATGCCTAGTCCGCAGCTGCCTAGGAGGCCACGAACCAAAAGGCCCTCATCGCGGATTCACGGACCAGTGGTAGCAGTGTGCCGCAACCATGACACCAGAAGTGTGAGAAAGGAGGAAGAAACGAGTCATTGAGGAGTGAGATAGCCCTAGCACTGCTATCCTTGCAATTGTCGGACCACCTCCGATAGAAGAGAGAAGCGAGGGCCCACGCTAGCAAAGTTTGGTGACAGTCATTCTGTTAGAGTACACACTTAGATTGATCCAGATTCAAACTGACCTACTAATCGAAAACACGGATACATAAACACCATTGAAGAAAATAAGTAAGTAAGAATGATATTAAGGCATGCTGTTTTTTTAACGAGGTTTAGCGATGTGCCAGTTGAAGTATAAATGAAATACCCACCTCTCTCCCCACTAGCTAAAGCTTTTGGATTTAACTAGTAAGTGGATACAACTCAATAGGGTATCAAAGCCAATGATCTTGAGTTCGAATCCTGGCTAACACAATTTAATAAAATATACAACTATATATATATATATGTATATATATACATATGTATATATAGAACTACTATCCTATAGCTGGCTACAAACTAACTTATTCTGTAGCCACCTTGAGTTACGATAATTACTATGTTAATTTACGAGATTATAGTAACTCCTTACTAAGTGGTTTACTATAACGTTTTGATAAACATCCCCATATATTATAGGAACCCAACTATCGTAAATACGTATTGACATTATCGTAAATTAGTATATAAAATTATCGTAAATGAAGGTGGCTACATAATAACTTATTTGTAGCTGACTATTGAATAGTATATAAAATTTTCGTAAATGGAGGTGTGTGTATATATATATATATATATATATATATATATATATATATATATATATATATATATATATATATATATATATATATATATATATATATATATAGAGTATATCCAATAGTCAGCTACAAATAAGTTATTCTGTAGCCACCTCCATTTACGATAATTTTATATACTAATTTACGATAATTTTATATGGAGAGTATATCCAATAGTCAACTACAAATATGTATATATGTATATCCTAACTCCTAGTACAACTCAAGTTAGACGTAACAAAACTGCATACATATTCAACCATATCTAACACACTATGGACCCTCGCATTTTCCTTTTGCTCTTGTTAAGAAAAATCTTGTTGCTTTGTCTCGATTAGGATCAAAAGTGCCATGCAGCGAGAGACAACTATGCAAGATAACATACATGCTCTAATTAAGGTCTAATCAAGAAAAAAGAGGGCTATACCGAGTATTAGTTAAAAGTTTTTAGCTAGGTCTTAGGATAATGCTGGATATTATGTTGCAAGGGTATAGTGATTGATGAGACGATGACCAGATGTGGCATAAACCCATGGCTATTGGTTACTTGGCTCATGGGTGACGATTCAATTCCTTGTGCTCCATGAGAAGGTGCTGCGGAATCTGCCTATTGGCTGCTCCATGCGTCGATTCCTGGTATGCTCAAGAGGACAACTTGTATAGATGACATCTTCCCAAGTGGCCAATTGACATGTCTCTTTTCAATTATTATTTGTGTTCTCATTCGAGGAATTTTCTAAAGCTGTGAATTATATGCAAATTTTCTGGTAATTTCATAGCAAACAGAAAAGTCCTTTCTTAATATTAAAAAATTAAAGGCTCCTATGCTAATCCTCATGAGACGTGTTAGGAAAAAAATCCTACGAATTCCCATAACTAGAAACATCTGGTACTTATATGGTATACTCTAATTATTTCACCAATAATAGCCTTGGATTTATCCTGTTTTCTAAACTATATTACCCACCTCAGCATGGAAGTTATTCACATCCACCATTATGAAAGATAATAAAAAACAACTACTAAATTTGCATCAAAACTACTGACTTATTAAAAACAATACAAAGTAACTCCTAAATTACTTTTGAATTATCCACCTTACCATTATGAAAGGTGATATAAAACAATTTATTTAATTTGCATCTAAATTACCCACATTTTCCATTGTAAATTACGAACTCTAATATATCCCACATATCTACATTTAAATTAGCAATATATGGTATTATAACAAATGAAATAACCATACAATGTAGTAGATATGTTTCTAAATTAGCCACTTCTGCCAACATTAAATTCAAAGTAAATATAAATACT